CATTGTCCTTCAGATATTCTTCCAAAGCCATTTTTTCTTCTTCAACCATCTGATGTACTTGCAGCATTCCACGCCCACCTATTTGCCTTGGTAGATAAAGTCTGTCAATATCACTTTGTGGATGAAGGGCATGATTCATTGTCATTATTTTTCTGGTCTTCCTATCCATTGCTTTTAGTTCTGCTTGAGTCCAGTCCACTATTCCAGCTGTGTATCTAATGACTGGAATTACCCAGGTGTTGATTGCCTTTATAGTATTTCCTCCATTGAGTTTGGATTTTAAGATCTTCTTCACTCTCTTGATGTATTCACCTCTGATCTTTTTCTTGACTTCAGTGTGCCTGATGTTGTCAGCTTGAAGGATACCCAAGTATTTGTAGTAATCTTCCTCATCCAGACTCTTAATGTTGTTGTTGTTGTTGTTGTTATTATTATTATTATTATTATTATTATTATTATTATTATTATTATTAAAAAATCTAGTTCAATCTATCCAAGCTGGTCAGCTTATCTCTACATATTCCTAGGAAATGCAAATTAAATTATTTCATTCCTTTACTGGTCCAGTATTGTTAAAGCTACCTTTAACAGATTGTGAAAGCAGATTGTGAAAGCTACCTTTAAATTCATTCCTGTATCATAAATGATGGTGCAATTGCATTTTTAAAGTTGTGGTAAAATAACTTGAATTGAGGTCCAAAACCCAGGAAACTGGAAGAATTTGATTTAAAAAAATCTGCAAGGTTTGATGCGCAAAATCAGGATAGCAGTTGTCATCATACAACTGTTTTCTTTTTTAACCACACCCTGCATGGATCCTCTTTTAAATGCAAGTAAAAATGAGCATTCTGGATTAAGCAGCTGAAGTAAACACCAGCATGTTGTGTTAAATTAAAAAGAACCAACCAATGAATACTTACACCACTTTCTGGATATATGTAGCCGTGTAAGTAGCTCCGTACAGCTGCCTGATTGGTCTAATCAAGTCACCCGGATTTGGGGTAGCTTTGAAAGTGAGAAAGTCAAAGTGTTCTTGATAACTACCTGAGTACTGGGACAAGCCAAACTAGAGAAAGGAAGAGAGAGAAAGAAAGAAGAAGAAAGGAAATAATTATCCCCCTTAAAAAAAATATCTTTTATTTGATAATTTATATGGTTGTCCACCTGGCTATAGTACTGTGTGTTTAATGACACATTAAAACATCTGGATGTCAAATTGGTTGGGTAAACAGAGTTGTGGAAGTTAATAAACTGTGAACCTATTTTGCAAAGGGGAGAATTATTATGGAAATTATCAGTATTCAACTAGCGGGGACAATCTATGTGTTATGTGTTTTTATGAACATTTTTATGTCTTCTTTAGCTTTGCTTTGTTTTTGTTTTTCCTCCTTTTTTGAGTTTGTTATTTTAATTTTGTGAATAAAATAACAATGTACTGAAAAAAAATAGAAAATAGCAGCAAAACCCCAGGCAATGTAAAAAAAAAAAGTCTGTAAGGACCACCAAGGAAAAATATAATCTAATAAATTAGGAACAAACATCCCCCCCCCCCATGATCTAACTAACTTTACCACCACTATTCAGGCATACATCTAGATCAGGGGTAGGCAACCTTGGCTCTTTTATGACTCGTGGACTTCAACTCCCAGAATTCCTGAGTTAGCTATGCTGACTCAGGAATTTTGGGAGTTGAAGTCCACGAGTCATAAAAGCCAAGATTGCCTACCCCTGATCTAGATCTTCAAAGCTTCTGGGAAAAATGGCAGGGTTGAGGCCAATCTAATATCTGGGATTATGTTGTTTCAAAATGGAGGCACAGCAACCAAAAAGGCCCCAGGATGTCATTCTTTAATTGAGGGAACCCACAGCAAGATTAGCCTGTTGGACCTAATGGGGCAGCTAGAAACAATGGAGGAGAGGTAGCAGTGCCCCCTGAACAAAATTCAGCCCCACCCACATTTATGACCATACCCCCTGCCACCACTGTCCCCACCCCCAGCAGACTAAGGCTTCATTATCCTCAGAGGACCTGCCTGAAAGCCAGAATCCAGTTTGGGACAAATCTAAGTGACCTGATCACATTTGTTTATTCATTCGTTCGTTCGTTTGTTCGTTCGTTCGTTCGTTCGTTTGTTCGTTCGTTCATTCATTCATTCATTCATTTTCTATAGCTACCCATCTCAGTCAATAATTCTGGGCAACTTACAATTAAAAAAATATAGAGAGATAGTCCTCAACTTACAACCACAACTGAGCCCAAATTTCTGTTGCTAAGCGAGACATTTATTAAGTGAGTTTTGTTCATTTGATGTTGTTAAGTGAATCACTGCAGTTGTTAAGTTAGTAACACGGTTGTTCAATGAATCTGGCTTCCCCATTGACTTTGCTTGTCAGGAGGTTGCAAAGATGATTACATGATCCCGGGACACTGCAACCGTCATAAATATGAATCAGTTGCCAAGCGTCTGAATTTGGATCATATGACCATAGGGGTGCTGCAATAGTCGTAAGCGTGAAAAATGGTCACAAGTCACTTTTTTCAATGCCATTGTAACTTGAAATGGTCACTAAATGAACTGCTGTAAGTTGAGGACTACCTGTATTACAATCAAAATTCTAAATAAATTTAAAACAATAAAAAAACAATAAAAACATACAAACTAAACATACGTACACATTATAAGAGAATAGCAAACACAATATGGCAACTGCCATAAACTGAATATCAAAGAGCTCCTAACTAGAAAAAAGCATATTTTTAGCATGGTAAAAAAATGAATAATGATTATATACCAGGGCTTTTCAACCTTTTCACCCATTGTACCACTTTTAGGATATGGCAATATCCGAGTACCACCAGTCGCCTAGCAAGGTGTCAAAAACTTGATGACCCCCCCCCAAAAAGGAAAAAGTGATAAAGTACAGATAGTCCTCGACTTACAACAGTTCGCTTAGTGACTGTTCGAAGTTACAATGGCACTGAAAAAGTGCCCCCCAAGCCACAGCCGAGCAAGACACCTGCCTGCCCACCCGGCCGCGCTCTTCCTCCTGTCCGAGGTTTCCATTGTTGTGAGCATTTCTGTTGAGGATTGGCAGTGGGGGTGGGGTGGGGGTGTTTGGTTTTTATTCCCCCTGTCTGCTGGGTGGTTGCAGCAGGTTTTAGTCACTTCACGTGACCCTGGAACACTGTGACCGTCATAAATATGAATCAGTTGCCAAGCATCTGAATGTAAATCACAAGACCGTGGAGATGCTGCAACATTCCAGCTGATCGGCGCTTCTTCTGGGCTCAGCAGAAGCGCCAGGATCTGTGCCGAGCTCCAGCTGGAGGCTGGCGCTGATCCTGGTGCTTCCACTGAGCCCTGACAGTCCTGAAGAAGCGCTGATCCTGGCACTTCCGCTGAGCCCTGACAGCCCTGCAGCTCCAGCCATCTCTCGCTCAGGCTTGTGCAGTGGTGCCACCGGTTCAGCTCATTCCCCTCCCCCGCTACCACTTTTCTAGGATGGTCGCATACCACCTGCCAGGTGCCAATGTACCACAGGTGATACCCGTACCACTGCTTGAAAAGCCCTGTTATATACTACTGCAGATTTTAGCGAGGGACTCAACATTTTCATTCTGAATATTACCATTTCATCCAGAGTCTGATCTCTTAACATTACCTGAGTGTTTGTATTTTGAAAACGATTCATGACCTGAAAAATAAAGGTCTTCATTTCTAAGAATTGATAATTTTTTATGCTTCCTGAACCGTCAATCAGAAAAACGATGTCAGCAGGGCGTCTGCTACATTCTATAAAAGCAAGGCCAACAGAGAAGAAAATAAAAAAAAAGAATAGCACATAGTCAAGCAGGTGACAAAATAAATAAAATAACATATACAATTTTCATTCTGTAAAAAAAATGAATCGCTTTCTAAACTTGATTCATTATTGTTTGTGTTTGCATGCATGTGAGGTAAGATGACTGACATTTAATTGTCCCATGTTCTTCTTTGAAATGAGCTGATCTTCATCCTTGTGTGTGTAAAACTCTGCAAGAGTACCGCACACGCTTATTTCAGAAGAGTCAGTGCATCTGGAGAGTACAGATAGTTCCCAATTTATGACCATAATTGAGCCTGGAATTTTGATTGTAAGTCATTGCGAACATCGGTTGAGGCATCACATGACCAGATTCAAAATTACTACCATTTTAATGACCATTCTTATGCAAACACAATGGTTGTTAAGTGAATTCATTTTCTTCAATGGGCATTTTTGATGAGAAACTGGAAGTAAATACTGGATACCAGCAAAAATTCCGTTATTCTATTCTGTTCTGTTCTGTTCTGTTCTAAAAAAAGTCACAGATTGTAGTCACATGACTGTGACAGCGGAAATGACTGTAAAGGTGTGCCAGTTGCCAAATACCCCAAATGGGATCAAATGATCATGTGATGTGTGTCTGTGGCTGTTGTAACTTCAAAAATGGGTTACACTTAGCTCTGGAGAGGTCCATTGTAACTTCAAATGGTTGTTAAGCAACTGGTCATAAGACTATGGAAAACCCATGAGTTATAACAGGGGTGTCAAACTGCCAACCCGTAGGCCAGACACGTCACGTGGAAGCCGTGCCCACCCCATTGCCAGCAATGGCAAAACCGGCCCAATACGTTGTGCGACGTCATGTGACGTCACGAGTTTGACATGCCTGAGTTATAAGATAGGTTTACCTGATTTGAAATTGTATTTCCCCATAGCTGATCTCTAACATTTGCAGTTTTATTTTTCCTGCATCTAGATCTCACCTGGCAGTTGATCAGGAAAGCGCTGAATCTGTCTCAAATTTTGGTCCAAGAGGAAGCAGTAACCTTTCAGATATATGTATTCCCCACATGGTTGGTGCACTCTGGGCCCACAGACCTGTGAGGGCAAGGAGAGACATTTACAGTGACCAGGCCCGGAAAACCAGGCACACTTAAATTGTTTTGTCTTGTTTTAACTTTTAATTTTAATTGTTTTATTCCTGGTTTAATTGCCTCCTAATATAATATCTATAGGCAGCTTTTATGTTCTTATATTTTACTTGAACACCACTCCAGAGTCGCTCCATGAGGGAGATGGGCAGTTTTTAAATTTGACAGAGATATGAAGGATGGATGGATGGATGGATGGATGGATGGATGGGTAGGTAGGTAGGTAGGTAGGTAGATAGATAGATAGATAGATAGATAGATAGATAGATAGATAGATAGATAGATAGATAGATAGATAGATAGATAGATAGATAGATAGATAGATAGATAGATAGATAGATAGATAGATAGATAGATAGATAGATAGATAGATAGATGATGGATGGATGGAGAGAGAGAGAGAGGGAGGGAGAGAGAGAGAGAGAGAGAGAGAGAGAGGGATAGAGAGGGAGAGTGAGAGAGATGATGGATGGAAGGATGGATGGATGGATGGATGGACGGACGGACGGACGGACGGACGGACGGACGGACGGACGGACGGACGGACAGACAGACAGACAGACAGACAGAAAGATAGATAGATAGATAGATAGATAGATAGATAGATAGATAGATAGATAGATAGATAGATAGATAGATAGATAGATAGATAGATAGATAGATAGATAGATACAGGGCTTTTTTTCTCATAGAACGCCCAGAATGGAGTTCTGACACCTTTTTTGGATGGAACCTTGTAGGGTAGGCAAGGCAG